TTGAGTCGAATACCATGAAATCGTAGACCAAACAGAAGCTGAAATTTTACAAATGGCGAGAAACACGTATCAGGAATTGGGATTGAAAAAAATTGCAGACTGGGACGAAAATGGGACGTATGGAAACGCATACACAATTAAAAAAAACAAGGATGTGACCAGACGTCAACCGATTGTACCATCATATAACGAACCCTCACGAAAGGTATAAAAAATTATGTCAAAAATAATTAACTTTCTATGCTATGCATGGAAAGTGGGCTTCTCATTAAAAGGTACAAATCAACTTGTACCGAAACTGAAGGAATGTAACAGAATAGCTAAGGACACATATGGAGAAGACACGACACTGATATGCTCAACGTATGACGGAAAAAATATGTTATCAAATCTAGATCATACACATATTCGTAACGTCATGCAATGGATGCTGCAAATGGTGAAAGATAGACGAAAAACTCATTTATGTTATAAACAAAGAGGAAAGTACATAAATTTTGGGAAGGCAAATGGGACGTATGGATGGCGGACGATCCAAATTGACAATTTGATGGACCTGCTATACTATGATATCACGCACGTGTATTTCAAAGTACAAGGAGTCTTACTTCGACAAATTAGAGGTGTACCAAGGGGAAAGGGATCAAGCCCACCGATAGCAAATATGGTATGCGCCTATGACGAATACATGTGGTATTCAACGCTCGGTTTGGGGAAGAGACTCGTTCAAGGTATGAGATTTGTAGACGATGTGATGATCATCATAATATCAAACAAAAAGAATTAAGAAAAAAACCTTAAGTGTTTAGAAACGTTCAAAACGTGCTATCACAAATCATTAAAACTCGAAACCACATCAGATAATGAAGGGATGAAATGGACATATCTCGAAACTACAGTGGAAAAATCCGACTACGAACCCCTCCTGAAGTGTACACATAGACTGAAAAATGAAGCGACACTCTAGGAGGGGTTGTTAAACTCTCTCTCTTTCAGGACTCTGCATCACTTCAGGAGTATGGGCTCCGAGAGAACGAAAGTGCTGACGATACTTGGCACATGTCACAGAATGGTCGCAAACACCTATGATGTCACAGACTTGCCCGTAGTATTGACATTACTCGGAAATGAGCTCAAACTGATGGAATACCCATGGAAGACAATCTGCACGACAATACAAGCGTACATCAAAAATTGTAAAGACACGGAAGTTCAGACAGAATTCCAAGAGTATATCGACAATCAACAACCATCAGCCGGGTAAAAAGAAACGCAACAAATCCCGCSGTCAGACGAAACAACATTTCATAGAACATAATTCCAAAAACTCCGAAAGCAATATGAAACAAAAATTTTCCGAGATTTTTTCGAAATTTGCAGATAAAATGATGCAAGAAGTCCGTGAAAATTCCCGAGACGGAAAAACCAAGTACATCTCACGTATCAACAAGAAACGAAAAGACAAAGGAATGGACTTCTCACCTGGATTGTGATATAATGCAATCAGCGACCACGGAAAAAATACGAGGAAAAAAAAAAAAAAAAAGACGAAGTTGTGTGAGATAGACATAAAGAAATGAGGGAATACATAATCCGATAGGTAAAAATTTGGGACGGACAGTAGTACCACAAACACACAGACCATTACGGACATTATAGGTATCAAGATCTATTGCTGTGAGATTCAACGACGACATGGACTTGCTCAGAGCGTTACTACGGAGGACTTGGAGGAGTGGATGATGAGTACGCTGCGGGAATGAGGACAGCAGGTGGGGAGAACTAGGAAAGTAGGGTATAAATATTGTGGACAGTGGCTAAAATGATTACCTGAGCAGTGAGGTAGAAGGGTGATCGCGACGTTGTCGCATGCCATGGACGAGACGTGTATATTGCGAAAGTAAAGCCTCGCACGTTTTGTCTGATATTTGCATGTGTGTCTGTCTCTCTCTCTCTCGCGCGTATCAATAAACGGAACAAAACTCTCTCTCTCTCTCTCTCTCTCTCTCTCTCTCTCTCTCTCTCTCGC